TGGTCACCTCCACATGGCTCCCTAATCCCAGCATTTCAGAGACTCAGGACACTGACCTTAGTTGCTTGGGTTGCTTGCTTATTTTTCTATCTTCCAATTTATCTCACAGAAAACTGCTTAGTAGAGGTACAAACCTCTTGGTTCAAGGGAATTAGCACCTCGGTCTGTAACCTAGTTCTCTTAGCACCTAGTGGCTGTGAGCCTAGGTACTGGGCAAGTTTGGGAACAAAGAGAAAGCAGATCTGCAGCCCCCAGGCCGCAGTGCCTGAGGACAGGTGCAGCACTAAATGTGCCTCCTCCGATGAACTGGCCATGGAGATTTTTCTTAAGCCACAATGAACACTAGCCACTTCACTAGTATAAATTTGGCAACAAGGACTGACACCATGCATGTACATGCACACACACACACATATAGACACACCCGCACACACTAGAGCAGATGAGGAGCCCAGGCCTCAGAATCTGGCTAGCAGAAGTCCAGTCCCAGTTGCTCTATCATCAGAAGGTCTTTGGGCAAATTATCATTTCTTAGACTCTACTTTCCTATCTGTAAAATAGAGATAATAGCTACCTTGGAGCGTACCTGGCAAAATAAGATGACTAAATGCCTGCTACGCAGGAAGACCTTTATGGCGATGTCAGGATCAGTGGCTCTCACTGTGTGAAGGGTCTACTCTATGTACTGCTCATATCTAGGCACAGGTTTCTCAACCTCAGCAGGTTGGATATTTTGGCCTGGAAATTACTTGTCCTGTATATTGCAGGATGTTTAGCAGCACCTTCAGCCTCTACCCATTCGATGCCAGTAGCCCCCTCTCCCTAGTTGTGACAACCAAAAATATCTCCAGACATTGCCATGTGCCCTGGGGGTCAAAATCACCCCAGGTTGAGAACCACTGGTCTAGAGCTTCCTCACCTTGGGGGTCCAGAGCTTCACAGCATCCAGAACTGCTTTTCTGGAAACTCAGTCATTAATTCCTTGGTAATGCCGTATTGATGAGAGATTACTTTTTAATGGCCTTACAGAAAATTTTTGTTACTTATAAATGGTACTCACATCCTGCTGCTGTAAGTATTAATTTCTAGGATTAAAATAAAAGCCTTTTTGCCATCAGGAGGACAGGAAGCAGTGAACAAAACTGAATCAGCAGAGGACACTATTTTTGAATTTAGAAATTACTAAATTAGTACTCGCTGCATTTGTGAGGCTTACATTCTGGCTGAAGCTTTTGAGTTTGGGCCACTATAGACTCCTCTGGGGGTGCCCTGCAGATGGGAGGCCTGTTGACTCTACAGAGTTCAGAATATGCTCCTAGAAAACCACCCCATGGTCCTCGGGCTTTACAGGTGACCGCATCAGATAGGAATGGCTATAATTTATTGAAAGCTTACCGTGTTCTAGGCCCTCTGCTAAGATCTGTAAATATTTATCTCGTGTAAACCTTATAATAAAATGATCCCTGTTTTATAGACGAGGAAACAAATTCAGAAAAGCAGGTTAATTGGCTTAAGATACAGTTGTAGTCTGTTTCTGGAACTGATCTCTAGGCCATTCTACTCCACCATCATGCTTTCATCCTCTGCTCTGCTGCCCCCTGGATTCCCAGCTCTGGAAGTCTGGCTGTGTGTACACTTTTCTACATGGCCAGTGCCTTTTGTGATACTTGCTGTGGAAGGAAAGAGAGGATAAAAAGAAAGAAGTTTCCACTCTAACCCCAGAATTGGATTGGTGATAACTGGATTAATCTTTGAGCCCTCTCAGTTATCAGGGAATAAATAATAATCATCATCATCATCATCATCATCATCATCACACTTCCAATTAGATAACTTCAAAAATTTTTTAAAAGTGTTCAAGTAATATTTATATCATTTAATTGTCAAACTAGCTCTGTGAGCCAAGTAGGATAGGTATCATAGGTAAGTTTATTTGCCAGAGAATGGCTAGAACTAAAGCTTCCATCTCTGAACTAAACTGTAAAATGAGAAGGAAGAACTACAAAGAGATGGACACATTATCAGTCAACAGGAAGAATGAAGATAGTTTATCAAAATTCTCTACCATGTCACAAAGGTGCCAAAGGAATAGAGAAAGGAGAAGCAATTTTCTCTTTCATTTGCCATGCAAAGTGCTTAAAGAGTAGCCACCAGACTGCAGCTATAGGAAAATGTTGCAACTTGATTGCTGTTCATGCTCACTTCTGCTTCTTCTAACTTTCTCTTTCTGGCTTTCTTTTCCTAGTAGAAAATCTAAAATAAGATCCTTTGATTTCACTTCCTTTATTCATCTTCCTCTGCCCTTTAAAAAGAAATCACACACACACACGGAAAATAATGTCTCGATGGCATTATGAAGTATACTTTTTATATGAAACATTGAGTTCGTTCTACATCACTTGATTTTATTTCCACATAGGTCCACAGAGGACTTTGTTTGAGAAAGCAGTACTAAAACTGTCAACACTGATAGGAATCTGTACCATCTTTATTTACCTTTAATTTATTGTAATCGTGGCCTAACTTGAATCAACAATTAAGTTATTTATCTACATTCAATAGAGAGCATTTAGCAATTGCTTTCTAAAATACTCTATTTTTGAGGTTTTCTTGCACAGGCTTTCTTAATACTGACAGTGGTCTAGATATGTCAGTCTCTTGAACATTTAAATATTGTAAATCTGGTTAACTTATCCTGGAATTCATTTTTGTGTTGACCTTTTCAATGAAGTAAGAAATTCTGTGTTTTTTAAAACCCAAGTAACCTTTCACAGATTTCTGATGTATTTGGGCCAAAAAAAAAAACACATTTGGGCCAAATGACACAAGCTAAATGACTAATGAATTATGTTTCTATGGGGAAAAAATGTTTAAGTTAGGCACCAGAAAGCTCAATAAAAATTTAAGATGGAGCCCTGGCCAGTTTGGCTCTGTGGATAGAGTGTCGGCCTGTGGACTGGAAGGTCCCAGGTTTGATTCCAGTCAAGGGCATATGCCTGGGTTGTGGGCTCGATCCCCAGTACGGGGCGTGCAGGAGGCAGCTGATCAATGGTTCTTTCTCATCATTGATGTTTCTATCTCTCATTCCCCTCCCTTCCTCTCTGAAATCAATAAAAATAAAAATACACATTTTTAAAAAGATTTAAGATGGAGCCAAGGGGTTCTACATGGAATATGCTTACATTAAGCAACAAATGCTCTTTTGAGGATCTGATTAAAATAACAGTAATAGTGATTATGATGCTACTTATATGGAGTTGATCCCTCACTTAATGGGATGAAGAAGCTCCTGCACCCAGTACATCTCCCTTGCATCCTGCTTCCTGCAGCAGAGAGAGGCTTGTGGTACTCTGAGTGCCCTTTGTGTAGGGGTGGCGGTGGCGATGGCGGTGGGGGGCCAGCGAGACGTGGAGAAGTAGTTCTTCCTCTGCAGACTCATTCAGTCTCCGCACAGAGGCGTGCCAGCCGCGTTCAGTGTAGAAGACCTGCTGGATGTATGCTTGGCATTTTTAGTTCTAAGGATAAAAGTATCTCTGATTTCCTTTTGCCTTCTCTCAAAACTCTTAATTTATATTCACCATAACACCCATAAATATTAATTAATTATTCCCAGTCCCTCCTAGGCTTATTACTTTGTCAGTATGCCCCCTGACAGTACTGCAGGTTAAGAATTATTGTCAAAGCCACGGTTCCTTTATTTATGGTCACCAAATTAAAATTGCTAACTGAAAGAGATTATATATTGTATCTTATTATACATGATAGTTACAAGGCTTCAAAGAAAGCTTAGAATGTAGGGAGAATGCTATAGAGAGATGCAGAAAGTGTGTTCAAGTATTCAATATATTTCTTTCAATCATAGTTACCTTTCAGCAGAAGAAAAGATCTGAGTTTTTAAAGATGGTATCTTAAGAAAATGGAATTTGTTGTGAGAGTTTTAAGACCAATTTCCATTTTCCCCATTTGAAATGTGTGTAATAATAATTTTTTCTTACATTTAAACATTGAGGTTTGTTCTAAAAATTGGGCACAGTTTTCAAATCTCAAAAATACAATGCAAAGATGATATAACATTTCAATTTCATTTTATGCAGCAATTAGCCAAGTATATTTTTAGAGCACCTAATATATGCCAAAGGATACTAAGATAAGCATAGTCCTTATCCTTGAGCAAATAGTATAACAGGACATTTCAGAGCCATTTGTACAACCCCAAACTGAGTTTTAATTTCAGTGTGTTTTATTTAAACTCTTTCCGCAACTGCTAAAATCAGCCCATGGAGAGAAAGCATCACAGCACCGCTTGAATCATACAGCCTTAAACAAGGGCTGCCAGGATTAAATAGCAACAAAACCACTAACCCAACTTCCTCCTTTAAAAGAAGTCGAAGTGAAAACATCAACCACTGCATCCTATAAAAATGGAGAGTAAAACCTGAAGCAGGTTTACTGCTGTCAGCCCGGGATCCAGGAGCCCCATGTGCACTGGGAGGAATCTCCCTGTCCGGCTGACCCAGCAGGCATTCGCACCAGTTTGGTGTGTGTGCGCACATTCGTCTACAACTCTACATGGACGTCTGATAACACTGGTGAAGCAGATAGATACACATCAGCCCTGCAGCTGGGAGCAAATGTGTTGTTCCAGTAAGAAACTCAACTAAGATTCCTATTGTTTTGGAGCCCCTCCTCACTGCAGTTTCACAGACGGTACTGAATAGTCCCTGAGAAAATAACTAGACATCAATTTAATTGTAACTGTAGGGAGCTAAAGAACATTCAAAGAGAGACTGTGGAGCTCAAGGCTAGGTCCCAGGTGACACTCAGATCACTTCTATTGTGAGCTGGACCCAGTACTGCCTCCCAACATTTTAATTTTTTTTCTTTTTATAGCAACAGTAACCATAACATGAAAGACAAAGGCTAAACCACAACATCAAAGACAGTTTGCAGATTGACATGAGCAGTGAAGGAATAAATGACAAAGCTGAGCCATCTGTTACCTTTTTAAAGACGACCTGGGAGTGGAAGCTGCTGTGGACTTGCTGGGCTGATTGCGATCTGTCGTCTGTGCTGGGGAAGGAAGAGTTGTGTCCCTCTGGCCGGGCTGATCCTCTGGAAGTGGAGGTGCTCTGAGTACCTACATGTGTAAGGAAGTGTCAGGCTCCCTCCTCACTCTGTGAGTCACCCTTGTTGTGACACTTGATGATGACTAAGTCTTCTATCGATGAAGTAAGCCATGAAGCTGTGGGTCATGTGTTTCCAAAAGACATTTTAAAAATGCAGTATTTTTAGCAAATAAAATTTAGCAACTTTCAGAAGGGACTTAAAAATGACCAATAACTTTCCTTTAACTGTGAGAACAATTTTTTGGCCAAATTAGGGAACTGAAATACTATATCATTGAAGCATTTTATAAACTGCCTGGCACCAGGCTTGAGTTGTGATTATTGTTCATGATCTCTAGGTTGTTTGTTGCTTGTCTTTCTTTCTTTCTGTTACTGTGCCTTTACTGATTTAGTACTCTTTCAGTCCTAGGAGAGTTGGTAGGGGAAATGAGTCTCTGATTATTTATTTATTTATTACCACTTTTATTAAAACTATTGGTGAGCAAGGAGACCAAAACAATTTATTTTTAAAATATATTTTATTGATTTTTTACAGAGAGGAAGGGAGAGAGATAGAGAGTCAGAAACATCGATTAGCCGCCTCCTGCACATCTCCTACTGGGGATGTGCCCGCAAACAAGGTACATGCCCTTGACTGGAATCGAACCTGGGACCTTTCAGTCCGCAGGCCAATGCTCTATCCACTGAGCCAAAACGGTTTCGGCGAGACCAAAACAATTTAATGAAACAAGGCTTTGGATTTATTTTGAGTCTTACTTTAATGAGTGTTTTAAAGTATGACAAGAAGATCTTACTGAAGTGGTCACGGGAACTGAGATCCCTGAGAATAGGAAAGGTGATGTGTTTCAGAGTGTATTATAATTGACCAGGCATATCCTGAAAAGTATTGAGGTTACAGGTGATGAGGGGGAAGTTATGCTGCTAATATGTGCCACCCCTCCAGGCTTGCACCTCCCCCTTAGGCACGCAGGCTGATAGACGGGTATAAACTCCACTGAAACTGTTTAGTTTCAGTTTCCTAATATACCAGTTTATGGTTATACATCTCAGATTCCCCAGGCTTCTTCTGTGTTCCTTCTTTTAAAAATGCAGTTTATTAAGATTTAGTTGGGGTGAGTGGATGAATTAATATATCTGTCTAGGTTAACTCTAGAGACATTGCTATTATCCTATAAATTAAGTGGGGGATTTTTTTTTCTCCAAAAGAATTTTATTTCCTCAGGTAAAGATTAGGGTACCAAACATGTGCCAAATATACTTTTCCCCTTTAACAACCCATAAGTCAGAGTAAGACTTAAAGAGAAAACCTTTTAGAGAAATAATACATTGACTTAAATCCACATGAGGAAAGATATAAATGATTAATATTGGACCCTTCTTGTGAGCAAGTTATTGTCACTGAGAGGTGGAGAGAGTTGCAGGCATCTGGGTAGCCATGAAGTAGAGAAGGGCGGAAGACAAAGAAAAGGCTACTTAAGTTTTGCTGATTCAATACTCTAGTCTAGTGTAGGTCTGTTTTAAAAATATCCCAATATGGACAAAAAAGGGGCCACATACTAAACGTGACAAACTCAGGAGAGGCCAGCATGGTGGGCCTTACAAACTCAGAGACTGAAGTACCCACATAGGATGGTCTGAACATAAACATTCCTAACTAAAAGCAGGTCATGGTGTGTAGTCATGTCCTAGGCCTGTTGCTTCCTTAACAAAGGTCAATCTTTATCTTGAGTGAGCCTGTCTATTGTCCTTTTGCATCTAAGATAGGGATAGGGAACTTCCGGCCTGCTGGCCCTATGAGGTCGGAGAAATCATTAATGTCTGGCCCTGCCAAGGTATTAGGGGTGAGTTAATTAAATGTTTGAGCAAATACAGCAGGCTAATTTTTAAGTTGATAATTTTGTATGGCATTCAAATGATGTCATAAATATCCAAATGGTCCCTGGCAGAAAAAAGGTTCCCAACCCATGATCTAAGATAACATACATTTGAAATATCAGAGTAGTCTTTTCTAGACCTCCTCAGGGCACAACCTCTCTACCCTAGCACCAGATCCCAGGAATCCTCATTGTTATTTTGTTCCCAGAATAACAACTCTACTAGTAGATGCTGTAAACGGTTTGACTCATTGGATAGAGTATCCCCTCCCCCCACCTTAGACTGAAGGGTTTCGGGTTCGATTCTGGTCAAGGGCATGTACCTCCGTTGCAGACTCAATCCCTGCTTCAGGCAGGCAGGTGCAGGAGGCAACCAATTGATGTGTCTCTCTCACATCAATGTTTCTCTCTCTGTCTCCCCTCCCTTCCACTCTCTCTAAAAATCAATGGAAAAAGAAACTCGGGTAAGGATTAACAACAACAACAAAAAAGAACTGTATGTCTCTCCATCTTATTTTTTATCCAATCCCAGAGATATCCCCTGATTTGGTCTCTCCTGCCCCCTTAATCTACCACCAATGGCTTTCACGCAACCCTTCTTTGATTCTAACAGATAAAATAAGCTGCAAAACTGCCATTTTCTCAATTTGTTGAGATTTTGCCTCCTGGCATTTGTTGTCAGTTTGGCTCAAAAACACTCATAAAAATTCTGTACAGGTTTAGAAATTTCTTACATCAATACCAAATAGACTAAAAAAAAAAAGATGTTTTGACTGATTTGTATATTGAGAACTAGAACTAGAACTCTTGCTATGTCTAAATCCCTCAATTCCAGTGGACCCGGGTTTTTAAGAGCTCAGTTTTATTAGCCCTGGCACCAGGGTTGGAACATTTTCTCCTCTGGTCAAATGATCCTATTTAGCTGTTCAGTTAATGGAATCATTTGCCAGCAGCACTTTATCCGGCCTGTAACTATATCTGCCTTCAAATTCACCTCTTAAGTGCTAATTTTTCCTTCATTCCATTCTGTAATAAGGCAACCTATGAAAGTGCTATTTTGTTCAGAACTCACTCTACATTAGACTTCTGGTCATCCAAGGTGATGTAAAAAATCCAGAACTGAATTGCCATAGTATTTTTCCCCTAATTCCTTTTTAAAACAGAAGATTGCACAGTGGATTTCATTTAAATGTAAATGTTGACAAACGGTAATTATAGAGGGGTAAGGCTAGATACTGCAAAACACTAACATGACTCTCCTTTTCCTTCTAAATTCATAGGCCCCCATGTTTCCCTCCAAAGGTGCCTTCTCCACCCTTTTCAGACACCACAATACAAGGAGAATATTTAGATTCCTGGCTGTCTCAGATGACATGCATTGGGCTTCTCAGATGACATACATTTGGAAACTGCACAGGGCTGAACATGGAGCAAACCACAGATGATCCTGAAATGGGTGTCGAATGGAGAAAAGCACTTCCAGCAGGAGTGTGGCTGGTGCTACTCTTGTAAGGATGGTGGGGGCCAAGGCTGTCATGGAGTGTGCATGTTGACCTCCCCCTTCCTGGCATAATAATAGAATCCTCTCTCCAAGGTCACCCTCAGTGGAGTGCATTTCTCTGAATAACTATGAATTGGTACTAGGGCTGTATATTTTTATTAAAAATTTTTGTTGTATTTTTAAAATGTTTAAATTACAGTTTTCATTCAATATCATTTTGTATTAGTTTCAGTTGTACAGCGTAATGGTTAGCCATTCATATACTTTACAAATACTTTCAATACCCAACAGGCACCACACGTAGTTATTACACTATTAATGACTGTATTTCCTCTGCTGTACTTTATAGCCTCATGACTATTTTGTAACTTCCAATCTGTACTTCTCAATCCCTTCACCTTTTTCATCCAGTTCCCCAAACCCTTTTCCCTCTGGCAATCATCACTCTGTTCTCTGTATCTGAGTCTGTTTCTATTTTGTTTGGTTTATACTGTTCTTTAGGTTCCACCTATAAATGCAATCATGTGGTATTTGACTTTATATTTTTAAAAGAGCATTTTGTAATTTCTATCTCCTCCCTTTATCAACAGAACAGCTCTTTTATTTCCACTATAGAAGTCTCCCTTGCTACACCAACAATACCTTTGACATTGGAGCAGAGCAGGTCAATTGTAAATGATGCCCATGAATGCATAGCTAGGCTTGGTCAAAACTAGGAGCTTTGTTACTCATTTGTCATTTGCTGACTCTCCCAACTGTAAAATGAAGCGGACTAATCTTTTGTTCCTCTACACTGTAAGATTCTTGGAAATACTATTAGGGACTGAGTCATGAGAACTTTTGGTAGATTCTTTGAAGAAAGATTTTTCTTATTTGCAGAACACACAACCTTTTAGCTTACTCAAACAAGAGATCTTAGTTTAAAAGGTAGGGTGAGGAGTATTATATTGGAGAGCATTGTCCTGAAAAGGAGCAAGAGAGGTGGGTGAGAAGGAAGGTAAAGGACCAGAAACACTAGGGATGCCTGGAAACAGGGAGACTTGCAAGAAATAAGATGAGAGCCTTAATAAAAAAAATGTGACTCTCAAGAGGAGAGTGTTAGGATCCCTGAAGAAGGAACATAAGAGGCCCAAAGAAGTAAAGAATTACAAATTTATTAGGTCATCTGGGACCAGATGGGCTGAGTCCCCAAATGGCACCAGCATCCAGAGATGGGGAGTCAGAGGTGTTAAAGGACTCTAGACGGGCTTTTTCAGTGGGCAACTCTCTGGGTGGGTCCTGCTCCTGGGAGGGTCCCCAGGGGAAGGATAATGGTCTTAGCAAGTGGACTATGGTCTAGTGAAAGGGAATGTCGGTTGTGAAGTGGTCTAAAGGTCAGTTCCCAGGGGAAGGGGTATTCAATTATCTGATCAGACTTAACAGGGGGGAGGTGGATGCTCAGGATCTCAAGAAAAGCTTTGCAAGGATCCATGCACAGGAGATTGTGGTCTCATGGAAAGATTTATTCGGGATGTCTGCCCCTGCACTTCCAATATTCTATCTGTCTCCGTCCCACCATGGAAAAAGTCTAATCTTGTCTTCAGCAAGGCCAAGACAAAGGCCAGTGCCCAGAGTTTCTGCTTCATATTCCTTTGGAGCCCGGTCAGTCTTCTGTGGGTTCCAGGTGGCCACTAGACCGGCATGGTCCTGTGCTCTGGGGGC